TATGGTCATGCTGAACGGGTATCTTAGTAAAGAGCATATCTGCACTTTGGGGAGGAGTGGCAGCGGGCGACAGCTCACCTTCGAGAGAAACAAAGGTGTACGAGAGGTGGATAAAGGAAATACCCCTCACGCTCTGGAATTCATTTCATGGACTTGTTTGTGGTGCCCTTCCTGGCAGAGCCTAAGGCTCTGCTGCTGGAGAAACTGAATAAAATGAAGAATAAGATTTAATATTTACTGTTGAAGCTTCAGCTCCAGCTTGTTTTGGTGTCATGCTCCTCTCTAACTTTATTCCTTACCATGGCGTATACATAGATCTCTCACTAAAAACAAACGTTTAAGAAAACCACGTGGTCTTAATGGGTTTTGCAGGTACCTACTGTATTAGTTGGTCTTACTGGAAGATAAAAATTTAATCCAAATTCGGGTCTGCTGGGTTGCACTTCTGTGGCCTTGATGCCTCCTTGTTTCCAAGGCAAACGCAAAGGTCTGAAGAGGCGCGCGCAAGTCAGCGCGGCTCACACTGGGATTGCACCCAACACACGTCTGCTCGTTTTTCTCGTTGCGGAGAGGCTCCGCTAATGCGGTTCTTCCTCGGCCACGTGGCGAGAGCCTTAACTAGAGCTGCTGAGAGCGCTGGAGGGAGCGTTTCCCACTCGTCTCTTGAAGTTCGGAGACCCCATCTGAAAAAACAGCGCCGTGAGACTGGTGCTCTGTTCCTGGGAGGAGAGACTGTGGTCCATTAGGCACAACAAGTCTCTTAAGGTCCCTCTTGAAATTTGGGTAAGCTACATGCGCTACATGTAACGTGGTTCATTCACAAGCGGGCTGTACTACTTGCAAATCTCTTTACTGTACCTAAGGAAAGAGCTGTTGCTTTGTGCTTCTCCGTGTCTCTATCAGGGTAACCACGTATTAGAACTGCTTTAAAACCTCACTGGAAGAGGTCCAGGGTTTTTCTGAGAATATTGTTTATGGTTTGTTTAAGGTTATCAATTATGTCTCAAATAAAAAGCTCTCTGCAGATGATCATTGTGCTGTACTTTGAACTCATTTAACTGGACATTATTTACAGAATATTTATCTTGGTTATGGCAGTTTTTGTCACACAGCCATATTACTTTTCCATTATATACTACATGTGACTACCACATAAGTTTGATAATAAATGTTGGGAAATAAAAAACGGAGTAAGTGCCTCAGTATGATAGCAATTCCCATGTGATGGGAAATAATGTCATAAACTTCAAATTACCTTTTAAATAAATGTTTATGTCCAACCCATCCATTAGAACATAGCCTGAGGGGTCAGGACGATCATTTCTTCATATTTCACTGTATGCACTATGATTGCTTTTTTAGGTGTAAATGATGTTTTTAAACGAAGAATGGTATTCAAACCGTACGCAAACAAAGGCTAGACGGTACTGAGTCGCAGTGTGGTAGAAATAGCCTCAGCCGCCCTGCTAAATATAGAAGTGCAGTAATAAATTGAATTCATTCTTAGAAAATACTGTTAATGGTGCATGTGCTGAGAAGATACAGAAATACGGCTGCTGACATCATTCATACATTTTGCGACTTTGACATTTTAGGCGAGTTTAACTTCCAAGCGTTGTTTGGCAGATGGTGGGTTTACTACATGCTGACAAGAGGAGAGATTTTGGAGAAGGAAGGTGCAGAGAAGTGGGAAGATGATGGACAGCCCATTGCGGGGGGTCTTAACCATGCTTGTGAAGCGAGGCTACCTCTGTAAGCACCCAAGGAGGGTGTTTCCTTGGTGGCAACAGGTCAGAAACATCCCCTGGCACTGAGCCCTGGTGCCACTCGGAGGTGGCAGCACTACCCGGGGTGGAGAGGACCAGAGCCGCCATTCTCCGTGGTGAACCCAAACCCGAATCCCTTTGCTGGAGGCACACAAAATCGTCTCACCTTGACATTTAGAGATGTATATGCTCTGAACTGGGCTTCCCTTGTCCAGCCGCACGTCCTGGAGGAAGCCCTTTGGCTCCCCCAAACACCCTACGCGTTGGTTGGCGCTTTCGTGAAGGGCAGCGTTCACGGTGCCACCCTGCAGCCCTGGGGACGACGGGGGAGTCGAGGTGGTCGAGCGTAGCCCAGAGGCGGCTCTGCGGAAGCAGAAGCTGTGTCGGCCTGAGCCGAGTCCCGCTCAGCAAGGAGGAGACGGTTCCCGGCTGCCGCGGTCGGCT